TATCGGGAGCATAATTGGTGGTTTCTTTGGTAGAACAATTTGACAGAGTAGCAGAAGCCATGAAAACATCTCTTCTATAAAAAAATGCTTGTAATTAATATATATAGTAGGCAACAACACAAAATGCAAACAATTATTAGCAGTCTATGATTGCCGTTGGCTACTGCAGTGTGATGTAAAATGTAAAAGGTTAAGAAGAAAGCTCTTATCAGTGCCAGACTTGGGAGAAAAGGAGGACTTGGTTAGAACAGAGTTTGTGCACTGGTTAATTGACAGCTGGAATAGGGTAGTGTAAATGTTTCTTTTCAAGTTACAATTTGCACTTGATTCCTGGATTGATACAGATGTATACTGTGATAAACACCAAACCAATGTAGGATCTTTTCTTTCTTTATTCTTTTCCTATTCTTTGAGGTCTTCTTATATCAAAGTGGTCAACTGAAATCATTACTTGAAACAATTACCTCAGTGTTCTGTGATCATAACTTTAAGAATACCGGTAATGTCAGTTTGGGCAACGAGCATATGGCAATTAAAGGAGCCAAGAAAAGTAGAAAACTAGTGATAGATTTTTCTTTGAATCACAACTACAAGTTAACATAATCACAAAATATGTTGTTGCTTACCAATGTTTGCGGGTTTTGACTACTTTATTGAGGATTACGGTCTAACTTGTCATTTATTTAGAAATGATCTTGATTACACAAGGTCTTATCCAGAACTGAAACGCTAAATATTATTTCCTGTCTAAAAAGGAACTAATCACGGAGGTATTTATGAAACCAAAAAATATTTTCCAGTCCCTCTCAGAAGTAGTGAAATTCAGCTTTAACCAAAGCGGTTACAGGTAGGAAACTAATAGAATGGGTACATGTTTAAATTTATCTCAATAGAAAACTTCTCCTTTATGTATACTCTGCATAGCTGGTGCTATGGCTATACCTGCTCCTTTCGAGTCTGCAGATTCGCGCCCTGGCCGCATCAGCTTTTTCTTTTTTTGTCGTTTCTTTAAATCGATAAGACAATCGGTCCATCAAATCAAACACGACCGAATGTAAAAACGTTGTATGAAGAATGATGTCTTCAACAAGCACGCCTATAGTAGTAGCTAGAAGTAAAAAATGCAGTAAAATTCACACGGTGATGACGAACTAGTGAACCAACATCAATTGCTGCTGAATATAGAGATATCAAGTATATCTATGGGCTCCATTAAAAAGATGATTCGAAAATACCAAAATGTACAGGAAGTGCTGACCGAAGCACAAAGGGACTGCAACACACGAGGCTTACAGTTTGGCTCTTAAGATACATTTTCCACACTAGTAATTACAGGAATCAAGCAGAAACGTTTATGGTGCATGAGTGACTTTACCTTTGCAAGAATCGTCGCCTCACGAATGTCAAATAAGTCTTTCAAAGTAGAGATCAACCGTAGCCAACTTTAACATCCGCCATTTCCCTACACTGAGCAGCCAGACTGGTTACCAGTTTCTGTCAGCAAATTTGAAAGAGAGACTGGCAGTTTTGTAGTAAGCCTGTGACATTCTGAACTGTCAAAAGATTGAAAACAACCCCCCCCCCCCTTAAAAAAAAACAAAAACAAAAAAACACACTTCGCGCGATAGAAGACACTTATCATGACATGTCAAAAACATATTATGTAATCCTGAGCACTGAGAAACAACAATCATACATACATATACAAAATTATCTTTATTGTTTGCCAGAACAAGCGGAGTCGCTTCAACGGGAGTAAGGCCGTGGCCATTATCCCCTCTGATGCACCCGTAGTGGGGGGGAGGGGGGAAGGGTGGGTAAATGACAAAGGTAAGTTCTTGGGTTGAAAGCGAACTAAAAGTGACTCATTACATATGACTGAATCTCTCAATCTA